GAGGGGGTGGGGGTGCCTTTCCGTCCAAGCCCTGCAGAACGCAACTGGGAAGCCCCTGAACTCCCAAACCCTAAACCCTAAACCCTAAACCCTAAACAGCCCCGACCCTAAACTCCGGAAGCTTCCGGACCATGGAGCCCGGCCTAAAACCCAAATTTCACGAAGTTTGCGGGCTAGGCTTTACAGGGTTGGGGGCCCTAGAGTCTAGACCCTAAACCGTATAGGGTTTATAAACCCTAAACCCTAAACCCTCAAGCCCTCTGTAACTTGAAATTCCGAAGACAAAACCCAGATGTCGAAACTTTCCTCGAAGCTCCTCGAAACTTTCCCCTGACCCAATCCCTTAATAAATTCAATATGGGGTTTATAACCCTAAACCCCCTAAACCCTAAACCCTCAACCCTAAACCCTAAACCCCTAAACCCTGTAGAGTTTAGGGAATCCCAGGCATGCAGGCGCAAAGGCTGCAAGTTGACGACATCTTCGAGCGCGAGGGGCCGCTCTTGCTGCAAATGAGGTAGACCAAAGCACCCCCCCCCCCCCCCCCCCCCCCCCGGTCCGTAAACCCGAACACCAGCTTAGGGTTTAGGGTTTAGGGTTTAGGGTTTAGGGTTTAATTAGGGTTCAGGGTTCAGAGTTTAGGGTTTAGGGTTTGAGGGTTTGGGGTTCAGGGCTTAGGGTTCAAGAACCAGACCAAGGTCCCCGCCAAACCCTAGGTCCAGTTAGAAGTGGGTTAGCATCACCTTGAATCAGGCTATATCTAGAGTTATCCTACTTGCCACCCTCACTATATACCTCAAGTCTATAAACCCCTAAGGCCCTATAGCCCGAAAAACCCTAACTAAACTCCGAAAAAACCTACACCTTCAAGCCTTCAAACCCTGAATTGTTGTTTGTACGGTTTGGGGGGGTGTTGGGGTGTTGGGCTTTGGTTTCTTGGATAGGCCGCCAAAGCAATTACATCAGCCTAACCCGCCATGTCATGAGATCCTCTGCTCGCTACCTTGTTTACCCCCAACCCCGCGACAGGAATCACGCAGCCCGAACTCCCCGAAATCCCCTAAACCTAAAGCTGAAGCTGTTATTCTGAGCCCTGAACCCGAAATCCTAAACCCTAAACCCTAAACCCTAAACCCTTAACCTATTTCGGGCTGGGGTGTAGATGGTGGGGTCGTAGTAGTATCCCATGGACTGAGGCAGATGTACGCCCTCGTGTCGGGCCGCATCTCGCAAGACCTCACGGCAGCACGGACGTCCAAAACCCTTAGTCCATGAACCCTAAACCCGTTTAGGTTTATAGGGTTTAGGGTTTAGGGTTTAGGGTCAGCCTGAACCCTTAACCCTTTGGAGATTAGGGGGTGAGGGGCTGCAGGACCCGCAATCCTAATCGAACCCCTAAACCCCCTAAACCCCTAAACCCCTGAACCCCTAAACCCCTAAACCCCTAAACCCCTCCTCCCCCCCCCCCCCCCCCCCACCCTTGTGGATGTTTAGGGGGCAAGGTTATTCATGTAGGGGTCGGAAAATATCTAACAGCATTCTCTTCCCAGACAATGATACTATGACAGCCCCCAAAACCCTCTTCCAATTTAGACTCCTACATTGGGCTGTTATCCCTTCTACTAACAGTCCTTAATGGAGATATATAACAGGGGGTACTATAATCCCTATTAACACTGGACTTCCCACAAAATTGCTCAGGGCTAATTCTTGGCCTAACCCCCAACGCAACCCGAATTTGATTCCCTGATCATTTGCTTGCACATTGGTTTTTGAACCGAGAATCGCGTAGCGCACCCGAGCACGAAGCCTGAAACTTGATTTCCAAATCATGTGGCTCTCGCCTTTTTGAGTCACCTTCTTGCCTTCTAAGAGAGCCTATTCATAAATAGTTTTCCAACAACCAACTTGAAGTTTTGGGCGTGTAGGATCTGGAGTTCAGAGTTTGGGGGGGGGGGGGGGGGTTTAGGATATGCTGGTTCAGGGTTTTGGGTTTAAGGTGGTTTGTCAGCACTAAGTTATAGATGTCCCTTATGACGATAGAGTGTTGAGTATCATAATTCAGGTCATAAGGCCAATCCCCAGAGCAAACCCTTAAAAGCCCTAAACCCTGAACCCTGAACCCTGAACCCTGAACCCTGAACCTTCAACCTTAAACCCTAAACCCTAAACCCTAAACCCTAAACCCTAAACCCTACCTACGTGAAATACAGAACCCTACGGGGACCAGAAAGCTTAGGCAGCCTAAGTCTGAATCCTAGACCCTCGGATCGCGCCTCGATTTTTTCGAACAAAAGACAGCCTCGGTAACGCAACAACGTCTCCACCTGAGCGGCCAGGATGCTTCACGCACTCCCCCTCACCTGAGACTCCAAGACTCAGGTGATTGGAATGCATCACCAGGAAAACATCAGCATTCTATATGCCCGAGCCCAGATGGATCGTCCTTTGGTTGCAAAAGTGGACAAAAGCCTCGTTGTACAAATGTTTGACCCTATTTCGAACAGGCCGTTCTGTTTCGGCAGCCCTTTCTCCTTTGGAGCAGTTCGATGTCGGATCAAGAGGCATCCACGCATGCAAGCAGAGACCGAAAACTATAGCTATGATCCTACACCCCCCACAAGACTTAGCTTCATGAGGATTAAAAGCCCAGATATTCTGGAGATAACAGCTGATAGTCTTCGTCTCCTTTGGTTTTTTGGCAGTTGCCAGCATCCGCAACTTAGGACACCGCTGATCTTATTCAGAATGCCCCAAAATCAGTTCAATCAGAAGAGTCTGTGGAGGACAAGCCATCTCTGTCACGCCTCTCAAGGTGAGAGCCTAGGAGGCCATAAAATCGTGATTGAACCGCTTCAGGATATTCTTGTACGTCAAACACGTATCCTGCACGCCAGTAGCAGTACAAGATGTTCGCTCGGTGAGGGATACCTGGATGCAAAGGCCACGGCACCGTTTCGGCGCTGACTGCCTGATCCTGCACTGTCTTTCTACTTCTGCACACACGAAGAGATAAGGCACGAACGATTTCCCAGATTCCAATCACGCAGGCAACCCACAGCCACCAGTCCCAGCTCCCGGCTTCTTCAGAGCTAGACCCTTGCTCATCCTCCAGACACACATCGCCAACCCCAGTGGAGCTACCAGTCGGTTCATCCCACCTACCGAAAGAAACCGGTTCATCCCCATAGGTTACTACCTCTGCAGAACTAGGAAGAATGCCGCCCAGGACTAACCAGAGAACATAGAGAAGTACGACCCAGCGCCTATCACTCCTTGGCCGCACACCCCAAATCCTCCCAAAAGTCCCTGCAAAATCCCCCTTACTCCTACACCAAAGCAGCAAGAACCAACACGCCACAAAACTAACGCTCCACAACTGAACGAATGCCCCAACAAGAGATAAACCGACCCCGACCCCGACGACCCAAACCACACTTTGCGAACCCTGAACTTGAGTGGAACTCTGACTTTCTTGATTGCTGGTCTGTGCCAGCATTGCATGAAACGACGTCCATTCACCCTCATTCAGCCCGGTAACAATAGTCTCAACCTCAGCCTGGGACCATCCCTGAAGCGCTATACTAACCTCGTCGTCAGCATAGGTCCCTATTAGCACTTCATGCCCAGCTCGGAAGTTCACTCCTAAAGGTTGTGGCTCGTCTGCCTGGGCAAGTCTGGCCTCGGCATCATGAATAACCCATACTTCTTCATCGACAGCAGCATCTCCGCTAGACACAGAAAATATCGACGGCTCAGTTGTCGAATCTCCGCTTTCGCTTTCAGAAGAAGACCACCCTTCCCCAAGGAAAAATTGACCTTCTACAGGAACCCGGGGACTTACAGCTCTATGGGGCCTATCATCTGGAGTAGGGTCATCTTCTAAGTCAAGGAGATTCAGCACGGAAATGGATGGAGACTGCGCAGTGACAATCTCTTCGGACTCAGGCTGGCCGTTCAACGGCGCGTGAAGGAATGCCGCCCGTACGTCGGCGCTCGAAGCTGCCAAACCCCGGTAAGCGGCAAGGCTTAATGCCGTTCTTACAGTCAAGCTTTCAACACCACTCGGAGGAACCTGCAGACTGCGACTGCCCCCCCCAATCTGCACATCGAGACTTGGAGGAACCTGCTGACTGCTACTGCTCCCCCCAATCTGCACACCGAGACTTGGAGGAACCTGCTGACTGCTACTGCTCCCCCCAATCTGCACATCGGGACTTGGAGGAACCTGCTGACTGCTATTGCTCCCCCCAATCTGCACATCGGGACTTGGAGGAACCTGCTGACTGCTATTGCTCCCCCCAATCTGCACATCGGGACTTGGAGGAACCTGCTGACTGCTAGGCAATCCCTGCTGACTGCTGCGCTCCCGTTCCTGAAGTTTGCGCTGCGCCTCCAGCAATTCAGTTTCAGAGAACTGTTCAGACCCATCACCTTCAGAACCAGCCCTACTTTCAACTTCAGAAGCCAGGGAAACCTCATTTCCAACCCCGAAGTCCTGTTGAGCCTCGGCAGCAAACTCCAAACCCCCAAGACTGACAGCATCGCCTACTAATTCCCGCAACTGTTCCCCCCGCCAAAAGCCTCTGAAACCTAAACCAAGGAACCACTGAGCCCAAGCAAGCAAAACCAAACCCACCAAAACTCCGAAGAACCAAAGAATCCATTCAATCCTTTCTTCAACTCGCAATGCCGGTTGAGCTCGGACACCAGACAACACAGCAACCAATGCAAGACCCGCTAAGGTCCGGGGAGAGACAGATCCCTGGGATCCGAGGCTGGAAGACAACCTGCTGACTGTACGGATCGAATCATCTGCCCCAGCTGGCGAAAGTCTCATTCGCATATTCATTAGTTCCGCAAGCTGAAGAATCCTAGCTCGAGACAGTGGTTTCGTAGCTATATCTGCGAGCTGAATCGATCCTGGAACATAGGTGACTACTAGAGATCCCGCATCTATACGTTCACGCCCAGCTGCAGCTCTCATGCGAAGATGTCGATTACGCCACCCGAGACTTCCAACAGCAAACGACCTTACCGCTGCCTGGTTATCACACAAGGCAGAGACCGTGATGTCGGACTCGATCATTTCCTCAATGATGCCCCCAATTGATTCTGCAGCAACTATTCCGGCGGTGACTGCAACTAGCTCTGCCTCCGTAGAGGACAGAGTCACAAACGGTTGACGACAGGATTCCCAGCATAACACATTTCCTCCCCATAGGATGACCATCGCTTGGCAAGATCGCCCCCCGTTAGGGGCATGGGAAGCGTCGGTGTACAACTCCAGAGTATTTAAAGTTCGAGGAACCGGAGCGTCAAGCCAGGAATTGTCGCTTGGCTTCTGGTATTCCAGCCACAGGTCCGCCGTACCATACAAGTAGCGCAGGATTTGATGCCCGCTCTCAATCACAATGCTTGGCGCCTTCACAGCATATTGCCCAAGTTTACTGACAGCAAAAGCAATATCGGGTCTGGTTTTCGACGAAGCCCAAAGCAAAGCACCTGTCAGGGCTTGCGCCTTCCGGACAGTCTCCAACTGCACCTGTTGCTCATTTTCCGGATCAGTCCAATTACTCAAGGGCGCACTTGCACTGCTTGTGACGTCGTATCTTGCAAAAAGCTCCTGCAAATAGGAAACCTGCGATATGCGATACCCTCCTCGTTGTAGGGCCTGGATTTCCAACCCACAGAACTTAGTGGCAGCCTCCTCCCGAATCCACTCGGGTTCCGAAAGCTTCCACAGCTTCTGTATTTCATCGAAAAGGGCACTAAGGATCACCGATGAAGCGAAACCCAAAAGATCGTCAACGTAAATGATCAAGATACCATGCCAACGCTCAGTGTCATCCTCGGCAATCTCGCTTTTAGTGATGAACCAAAGCGAATCATCACTGACACCCTGCTGCAAGGCATACCATGCACCGTCACACTGAAAGGTCAGCACCCGCAATGACTTATCTCGGAACCGGGCCCAAGCCAAGGGAGCTTGTCGTAACCCATACAGTGCTTTACGCACGCGCCATCGATGATTCGGGGAAAGAATTTTCATGTCTACAAGAATAGATGGAGGCCTGACAATGATAATTTCTTCGGACTCAAGCTCGCCGTCCAACGGCGCGTGAAGGAAGGCCGTCCTTATGTCGGCGCTCAAAGCTGCCCAACCACGGTAAGCAGCAAAACCTAATGCCGTTCTGACAGTCAAGCTTTCAACGCCACTCGCATAAAGGTTGTTGGAATCAGGAGAGCCAGTGGGGATGTAGTTCCCACACGCGACACACCTGAATCGGCGTTTCCCAACACCAGCCTTCCTGGTTAGGACTGCCTTTCCTGGAACCTGGGTTACCCTTTTTCCTTCTTGAATCAACCGCTCAATGTCCGACACGACAATGCGCTCAACAGCCTCATTCGTTTGTTCCAAAGAGACAACTTCCTCAGTAGCCGAAGGTATCCATAGCACCAATTCACCCTTTGCCTCAGCTAAGCTTACTGTCCTCGTTTGGAGAAAAGCTTCGGCAGGGCTGGTTTGGTCTTCCGGGTTCAGAGGAACATCCTGATTCAAAGCCTTTAACATACTCCCAGAATTCCTGACAAAGTCATCCCACAGAAGTCCCTCATACCACTCGCGCTGGCATTCAACCGACTTCAAGGTCCGAATCAATTCGTAGCCTACATCATCATTTCCAAAACAGCTAAGCTCCTTCACAAGGGCTTTACACGCCAAAGCTGAGGACAGGTGATTTCTTAAAACGTGCTCACGCCAACCAGGCTTCAACACTTCACAAGGAAACTCAACTTCCCAAAGCCCCTCAGAGGTCAAGTCCTCATCACCCTCAGCATTAAACTTTGAAATCGAAGCACGCTCTGCAGCGAAAAGGTGATCCAACCCTTTAGAATCGAACCCCAAGCTCTCAAGCTCACGAGCGTATTCGTTCAGAATCTTCCATGTACCCCGAGGAGCATAGGCAGCAATCACCCACCTATCCTTGCCACACCAAGGTTCAGCGCAATGCCACAATTGACCACTAAAGGTGCACGGGTTATCATGAATATCCCTGACAAAACCAGCCCTTAAGTCACCCCCCGGCAACTGTCTTAAAACAGGACCCTGGCCATCGGAACTTTCAACCCACAAGCCACCTCCTTGAAACTCCCCAAGAGCAATCACCCAAACCGGTACCACTCTTTCATTTCTAGCATCCTGGTGCAAAGGGGTAGAGGTGTTACGAGTAAGGTACAGGGTAGTGTAAGGATGTTCGCAACCCTGAGCTCGAACAAACTTGTTCAAGTAACGCACAAGATCCCCATGATCCTTGGCGAACCTCGACACGCCTTGAAAACCCCCCTGATTGTACAACCCCATCACAGCACACCTACCTTTTCCACCCAATACCCTTCGATTTGGAGGAGGAAGCTTGTCAGCACACCTTCTAAGCACCTCTAATGCCTCAACCGTGCTGTAGTCACCAGTCTCAAGCTTATTTCCCAGCCAAACACCAGAATCTCCAAAGAGAAGCTTCACGGTCGTACCATCAACCTGGAGTTCTTGAAACCCTTCCTCATCCGTAGTTACACCAAGATCCCCATCTGAAGCCTCTTCGGAAAGACTGGAAGACCCTGATTCAAGCCCGGTCTCAAACTTCGGCCCCTCAGAACTTTCGAAATCTCTCAAACACCCAACGCACTCCCCCCCAGGCGCAAACCTGGCAACAGAAGAGCGGCCGGTTGGCCATCTGGCGCTCTTAGCAGCCACAGCCCGAACAGCAAAACCCGGCGGGGTTTTGGTAGTCAAACGAAACTTGGGTTTCGGGACTGTCAAAGGATCAACAGGGTAGACAGTGTTGGTTAGCAAAACACGCTGCTCGGACCCATCCTGGATTAACACCAGGTGCCCACCAGCACAATCAGTTGCAACCCCCAGGTACTTGCCCGGAACAGTTCGTGTCTCCCAATGCTTCTTATGACCCGACTTCAAACGCTTTCGCGCATGCAACCATACCCCAAACGGTAAAAGGACAGCCTGTCCCACACCCAAAGCCTCAGCCATTTGCACAAAGTGTCTTTGCGAAGCATGAAGAATAGCAAATGGCCAAAACTCGATTGGCAGATCGGCAACGCGAAGGAGTTTCCTGGCATCTTGCTTCAACCGCTGGACACTGACCTCTGCCTTATTTCCAGCAGGATCCTCTCCTGCGGTAAATGAGGCACGAATGCCGCGTTCTCGAAGCCACTGAATCAAAGCATGGCTCCTCAGCTCTTTAGCACGGTCTGCGAAGTAGCGGTGAACAGGGTACCCAAACGACTCCAACCTGTTGACCAGAGCTTGAACCTGTCCCATGACTTCAGAGCCACGCTTGGTGCGCAACGGAATCCCAAGAAAAAGGGTTTTCGTGACGACTTTCGGCTCCTCTTCTGCCCCGTCTGCAGCGTTCCCCGGTAAATCAGGGCCAGGAGCCTTTCTTTCTGCAAACTCAGCTCCGTCTTGTAACGGATCAACCCTAGGGAACGTCTTGCCTCTTACCCTACGGAACAAGGCCTTACTAGAGAACCCTCCAGCAATCTGCTCATGTACCCCGTCCAGCCACTCAGAGCAATCCTCAGACGCCTCATCGGCTATAGGTCCTACCCCTGCAGCTTCTTGCTCACACTCAGAAGGACAATACTCAGCTAGATCATCAGGAGGACTCAAATCAGGTCGCAACTCGGGACTCAAGGGTATCGAGTACGCTGCAGCAATGAAGTACTTATAGCCACGTCCACGATCCCTGCCAGACGCAATCGAGTCAAAACTGCGACCATCCTTGAACGGTCCAGCAATGTCGACACTCAAAGAGTACAAGGTGGTGATCCGAGATCGCCAATGACTCCGCTGGCGACCTTGAGCAGCTATGCAGTCACCACACCCCCTCCTAAAAGGGATATGATCGTTGGCCCTATGCCTACGAAGAGTCTCCTCTTCGGTTAGCTTCGCCAACAAAGCTCGGCGCTCACTCAGGTCCCCAACTTCAAGCCTACTACGTCGGCACTTCTCCCAAGCATTTTTCACACACCCAATCAAACCTGGAGCCCAAACCCGACTCCCATTGATCCTCGAAGACTCAGGCATTTGAATATGTTCCGGAACCCGCAGGGCATGTAGGCTCTCGAACACATCCCACGAAGAGGTCACAAGGACAGTGGAATCCCGCGCCAAATTTCCCAGACATCCCTGATCAAAAGATACCCGGTACAACCCATATGCCTCACGGAGCCCTTCCACTTCTTCAGGCCTAGTCAACCCATCAAAGGACCCCTCTAAGACAAAGAAGACAGCCCTCTCTGTCTGACCACCTTTGCATACAGGCGGACTCTCTGCAGCTCGGGGCCCCCCTTTTAGGTCACTCAACTCCGGCTCAACCGACATCTGAAGCTTGACAGCGGCCCTCCGTAAAGCCCACAAGGCTATTTCATGAGGATCATCAAGACCCTGAGGAGGCTCTCCGGACCCTGACTCGCCCTCACCAGCAGGCTCACGCGGCTCGGTAACTTCACAAGCAGTGTTCTCAGCAGCTGCCTGCGCCACCATATACACTAAGCATAACCTGAACCATGATACCTGCTTTCTCAACGCAGCTTCCTTTTCACTGTCCGAAAGACTACTTCCCAGTTCGAAACCCTTTTCTTCGGTAGAAGCCACAATTCCTCCAAGAACCCCAGACTGAGCCCACTTTAGAACCTGAAGGAAGACCGGCACAATCCCGAGATCACTACCGAAGTCCCTCCGAAGCTCTACTACTCGTCCAGGACCCTTCCACTTGTCGCCTACAGCCCCAACACGAAGAAGTACCGACCCTTGCGTATCCCGATCAACACTCCTCCTAAGCCTGCGATTCCAAGGAGCAACACCCTGGCAACCCGCAAAGGGATCTTCCGGATCAACTACCGTCCTCTCTAGAACCCAATCCGAGATCCCAGGAAACACACTCCTCAAAAGGCTCACTTGAGTAACCCGATCTAGCAACCCGGCAGCCGACTGCTTCAGTTGATCCCTTAACCACATCTTCACTTCTTTCGCGTTAAGCTGTTCCCCAGCTTCAGAGCATGTCAATCCCTTTACCGAACGAGACCCTGCCCTAAACCTTTCATACTGATCCAGAAGCCGCATCCCAAGTTCCCTAGGTACCAAAGGACATCCCTTCACCACACTCACCTCAAGCTCTCCGAGTTTGGGATGCCGTATTCTACAACCCTTCTTCCCCCAAGAGATACGGTAACCCATACTGACTAAGTACCCGGCAGGCAATATGAGCTGGCAATCAACAGGGCTAAGCAAGGTCCCATACTCGTTAACGTGCAATTCAGTGACACCTGATGCCAGATCAACCCGAATGGACTCAGCCCCACGAAGCTCCTCAGAACAAGCAAACCTTAAGGCGTTTGTGGCACCAGAGTCAATCAAGGCATACTCAAGATTGGATGCACTCACAGCGCTACAGAGCCAAGTCTCATCTATGTTCCACTCGCCAACCCTCAAAACCTTTGCGCTTGCACCTTGCAAAAGCTTGGCTGCTTCAGCAAACAAGGCTTCCTTGGCGCCCGAAGCACTAGAGGCTTCAGAATTCCTGGCACCGGCACTTCCAGAGGGTGCATCCTCAGATATACCCTTCGCTTGAGGCTGGGACTTCGGCTTAGGCTTCGCCTCTGATTTCTTAGGGCTAGGAGGACTCTTGGCACTTGGCGATCCACCCTCTGGCAGCACCTGTCTGAGCTCTGCTGGGACAATCGGACAGTCCGGCCGGTAGTGTCCGCTCTGACCACAAGCCAAGCACCTACTTTGCCTTCTAGCTTTAGCCCTATCGTGCCTGAAAGTACAGCTATCCCCAAAGCGACACCCGGTACCGTCACCAAACCTGAAACACTCAACCGTACTACCAGAACCCTTCGAGGACTTACCCTTACCTTTACCAGCGTCCGCCTCTCCAAATACCGCTGCCACAGTGGGACTCGGCGTCTGAGAAGATGCAGATGTGCTGGGAAGCTTGGGGTCTGGGGCCTTCGCAGCGGCAGCAGCAGCAGCAGCAGCTCTGGCCTTTTTATCCGGAGGAGACTCAACAGTCATGGCTAGAGACTCGCACTCAGCCTGAATGAGTTTCACTAGCTGCGTAACCCCCGTTACCGACGGGTTGTAGTCGATTGAGCTTTTATGCCTAAACACGCTAACTCGGAACGCCACCATTGGCTGAAGAGCTAGAAGAGAGCTGGTAGCAGCATCTATCCCTTTCAGAAGTAGACTGGGGTCCGGGAGGGTTGCTTGTATCTCCCGTGCCCTGATCAGATCCTGTTGCCATCGCCTCAAACCTGAAATCGCATCCTTAAATGACTTGCATGGATCAGGCTGAACAAGACGCGAAAGGAGGTACGCCCTCTCCGTGCTGCCCCCTGGTTGGTAAACGCAAAGAATCCGATACAGTATGGAAGCAGTTGTCATCCAACGGTTAGTAACTAGCTCATCCTTGAAACTCTGAGGGACACACGACAACAGCAACGATACTGCCCTACTTTCTACGCGCTGGTACTTGACGGCATCATAGTGAGCAACAACCGTGGAGGGATCGAGAGCTAGCCGTTCCAACGGATCTGCTACAAGCCAACGCTGA